TGCAGATATTTAACAGATGAGATGCGTTGCACCGTTAATTCCTCCTGTTTGATAATACTTCTCTTGTTCTTGGTTATTTCGGTAAAGTCACGTAGAAGGGAAACAATAAAATAATATTTTTTATATTTTTTTATTTTATTGTTTCCCTTCTACGTGACTTTACCGAAAGAACCAAGAATATGAATCCCTGCAGTCACAAAAGCTTTAAATCAAAATTTTATACTTCTCTTGTCCGTATGCATCTGTGCAGATAGGTTTTTTTGCGGTTAAGCCATAGTCCCCACATACCGCTCGTATCAATGCGGATAAGAGGAGCGGCGACCCATTACTCTGTAGCGTAACATTGGTATAAACGCTTGTTGCAATATGAGCAGCGCATTGAAAACGCATACTATTTTATGTACTGTTTACAAAGTGTGTTCACAAATCCACACTGAGAAACACGATGATTGACAGAGGGGTGTACTTTTTTCGATAATGCATTTAAATAGAGGTACTGCAGGTAAGTAGTTTTCAGTTTTAAAGGCGTAGTTTGACAAGACAACACTTAAATTTTGATTTAAAGCTTTCGTGACTGCAGTAATTCATATTCTTAGTTTTTTCGGTAAAGTCACGTTGAAGAGAAACAACAAAATAATAAAATATATATAAAACAATAAAAAATTCTCACGACGTTTCGACCATAACTCAAACGGTCATCTTCAGGTGTGTTGGTTTGCATAAATTTATTTTTAAACGGCGCATTTATTTATTTATAAAAACCGTTAGCGCCACGCGCAACGATTTGGCAGTTTATTTAGGACTAGTCCATCTATATTTTGAAAAGAGGAGGGGGGAGACGAATTTTTTTTATAATGTATGCTGTCTGAAAGCCACTGTAAGCGTGAACAATCAATTAAGAACTGAAATGGTTTATCAAATCTTTCCAATGATTGCTAAGATAGAATCCATCTTCTCGGTTGAAATTGTCTCTGTGCTTGTATATGTGGATAGCCTCATGAACGAATCTCTCATGGAAGACAACACTTGCCACCATCCTTCAAACCCATTGGTGAAAAAGAGCATAGTTTTTGTTTACATTCTAATAAAATGTTTACATTATATATAATATATGTTTACATTATAATAGAATGTTTATGCGAGAGCCGGGGGCTTATGGGACCCCGGGGTCCCGCCATAAGGTTCACTTAATCTTTAATTTAAAGACATTAAGCGGGGTTGAGCCAGGATAGTGCTTGGATGGGTAACCAAAATTAATAAAAACACCAGATGTTGTAGACTGCTGCTGAACTACGTCATCAGAGTGCATTGCAGCAACATTAATTGTTCTACTGGAATATCCTCTGCCTGTATCAGTGTTCTTCCCTAAAGTTCAAAGGGGGGGGGGGGGAGCACTTTCGCCGATAAGACAGTGCGAGGGCCGCCACAGATTTGAAACCATTGGGTTTGACAGCGCGATGATGATGGGGGTGTTTTCACATTTGTATTGTCAGGGGCCACACGTCAGAGGCCGCACTAAAGGCCACCAGCGGGCTGCCAATGGACCGCGGGCCTTGCAATGAAGAACACTGGTCTGTATTATAGTCAGGAGCTTGTCTAATAAGCTAGAGAATACGGTAATTCCCATGACAACCTCACTGAATCCTAACAACTCTTTTTCAGTAGGGTCCCTGCAAATGGGATGTTTGCTCAACTCCGATAACGAGCGATTGGCTTCATGTGGGAGGAAATCGGAGAACCCCAAATAAACCCATGTACGACAGTGAAACCACTCAAAGCTCCACACAGATTGAAGAATCCGTTGCTGTGCTGCCATCACATGGTCATCTCTAAATGCAGACCTGGGAGGCCATAGTATAAACTTGAAATGTCATATTTGTGTTTTGACAGCTGTGAAACACCACGGTCTGTGTTTTTAAAAGAAGTCAGGAGTCGTTCTTTTTGCAGCTTTCACTTTACTGCAAACCATATGCTTTGGTTCATACACGAGTACACGTATAGCACCTGCTATAAATCAACGGCTGGATGACAGCCTCGACAGACTATGGGTCGTAACTGTTATTTGACCATACTTCACCGCACTTGTCAGAGCAGGTTGGTGAAGGCGGGGAACAGAGTTAGTGAACATCAAAGAACAGTACAACTATAGATTTGCTGCACTGTCAGATGATGTCCACCACATAGCCCCATAACCCCTGTGGAAACCTGTTTGTGTGTGGTAGTCACCAATTAAATCGATATCCAGGCTCAACCCTCCTTAACCTTGGAGATATGTACGGGATGGGATGATTTGGTCATTGGCTTTGGTTGATAATGATAATAAATTATAACACCTTGGGGAAATCATTGGGCGGCTGAATGGGATTTGAACCATGGCCCCCCGAGGTAAAGGGTCCAGTGGTGAGCACACCAACTACTTGACCATACAGCTTCCCTTGAACGCTATTCACCGGGCTACCTTCACATCGGTCACGTCGCTCGAAGATGGAGCTGGCGGATCGGATCGTAAATCGGAGAGAGTTGCGAATTCATATCCTGGTCGGAGCTTGACTCAAGCCCATCATTCCTCCAGGGTCAAAAAAATATATATCACTTTTTGGTGGACGTTAACAGTAATTGTCTTATGGATTAACTCGCCCCCCACCATAGCAATGTGGAATTATATAAACAGGAAATGAGCACCGGCCTCAATGCTCATTTGAATAAGAAATAACTCTGACCTTGATGCCCTCAATGAACTTGATATACTCACGAGTCGTTCATAAAGTCGTGGCTATGATTGTGACAAGAGGTCGGAGCGACTTTTTAAAAATAACTCCATCACCAGATGCGCCCCGGGGTTGCGCGTTATCACCCGACATTTCGGCACGCAACGGGCTTGCTTATGGGCAGCTCTGTTTAGTAAACATGCCTGCAGCTCGCTCACTCACTCCACTAGCCACTGTTACCGTATTCTCCAAATTAGAAGACGCCCCGGAAAATAAGACACACTGAAAAACGTGTTCCCACCCGTCACCCCCGCTGCCAATAAACTTACCCAAATCTGGTCACATTCACAAACGCCTACTGGACTATAAGATGCACCCCCCACATTTTTGTTCCTTTAAAATACAGCGGCTACATCTTATGCTCTAGAGATTACTAAAGATAAATAATATTCTAACATGTACAAAACTGCCGGATGACTGCCCACACCGTGCGGGTCCAGGGTGTTACTTGACTCAAGTATATGTCACGACACTGGTCAGTGTAGGGTTAGTGAAGGTAGGGAAGATAGACAATGGATTTTGCTGCCCGGTGAGATGTTAACTACCTCGCTTGGTATACAGGGGGTCGTGAGTTCCATCGCGACCCTGACGATTGTATATTTGGAAACCTGTATTCTGGATAATATTGGTCGCGAAAGCCTTCGTGTTAAACTGTATATTTGGAGTTTGCGTGTCTCTTTCCCCATAGTTGCATGGATTTTCCACCAGGTCCTGCGGCTTTTCCCTCAACATTTAGAATCAACGTGTTTTGAGTGTGTGGCTGCTATAAATGTCCACGTGATGAGCCACTTCGTGGAGCTATCATTTGTGGCCAGGTCGCTTCTGAAAAAAAGCTCTATAGCTCAGGGTGCCTTACATGGTCAAAAAAAAGATAGTATGGAGTTTAAACAGTTGAGTTTAGATAAGTCAAGTCAAGTTTTGTTTCTTACACAATTGGCGCCTTTCTAGCACAAAATCTGCCACTCAAATCGCCATCACATTCATACTAAAAAATAAAAATAGAAAATTCTATACAATGATAAATATACTATACCACCTATTGGACGTATCATGGGGGTGGCCTAGGGTCAACTCTGCTAAGCTCCTGAGATCTGACCAGATTGGGGCCTTATTCCGGGTGGTCTGCTCACAGGTTATTTAAACACAAACTCTATTTTTAGACTCTTGTTTATTAAAAATGAAGTGTGATTATTTCACAAGCGTCCCCTCGGCTTTATTTTGTTAGCAGAATCCCTTTTGAAACGCAATTTTGTGCTTATCTGCGTCATTGGCATGAGATGCAGCAGCGGCAGCACGCACGTGCGGATCTCTCGCCTGGAGCGGCCTGCGGAAGTTGATGTAACAGAGCTGCCTGGGAGACCCAAAAACCAAGTTACTCAGTCAATCGCACTTTCACACTCGCTTTGTCACGCTCCTCGCACCACGGTTCAAACATATATTTTAATCGTCAGAGCTGGAATGTAAGCAAAGTGCTTGGTGCATAACAAAGTGTAACGTAACGGGATTTTTGTTTTGTGTGTGCGTGCAGTCGTTGGCGAACGGTCCGAGACCATAAATCCCCGCACCTTTCGACGAGCACGGTTGGCTACGTACGGTGCGAAAGAAGTTCAACGTACGTACAACAACCCTAGATTTGACGATCCCGTTTCATCACAGGCGGCTGGCTGCCTGAATTCGAACCAAGGTCCTCGCAGCGCTCTGGCCTCCTGAGTCTAGCTGGACACCATCACACATCACCCCGCACCATCACCCCGCACCATCACACATCACCCCGCACCATCACACCACCCCATCACACATCACCCCGCACCATCACACCACCCCATCACACATCACCCCGCACCATCACACATCACCCCGCACCATCACACATCACGCCGCACCATCACACATCACCCCGCACCATCACACATCACCCCGCACCATCACACATCACCCCGCACCATCACACATCACCCCGCACCATCACACATCACCCCGCACCATCACACATCACCCCGCACCATCACACATCACCCCGCACCACTCCCGTCACAACTCGCCCTCCCCATCACTTCAAATTCACCAATCAACCCCCTTCCATGCTCGCAACATTGCCCACACCGATAACCAACAACCGCCGGTCCCCGACATTCGCCCCTGACTGACGGAGCCATCGCCACCCTGTGCCAGGCTAGGTGCACTTACAAAGCGCATCCCCACCTCCCCCCTCCACCACCACCACCACCTCACCGCCTGCAAAGCCGCGTCCGCCTCTGGCCCCGTAATGAGGCCTCGCCTCGCCGCCTCCACCGTGCCGGCTCCCAGCGCTCCCAGGGCCCACAGGGCAGCGCGGCCTCGCGCCTGTCGCGGCAGGGCCCTCGGCGGCGGGAGCAGGGAGCCCGTGGGCGGCGGGAGCCTGCCCCGGGCACCCGCCAGTAGCCCCAGCGCGCGTCTCCACCACACGCCCGCCATAGTTCCACCTCGGGGTTGGTCGACTACGCCGTCTTCTCAACGGATGGAAGTAACAAAACAAATAAAACAAACAAGTCTTCCGTTTTTGGCAGAGCTCTTCCTGTGGGCGGTGGTGGGGTTGTTCCGGTTGGGCCACGCTCTTCTACCGTATACGGAAGAGGTCTTCCGGAAGAGCGGCGATTTAAATCGCTGCGGGGAAAAAAAAGACTTGATTTGGAGCTTTCGTGACTGTAGGAATTACTCCCCTGTGTGCCCAAGGCCATAGAAAGGAGACATCATGGGGGGGGGACCAACTCCTCCAGGGGGTCTGGGGGTCCCAACCCAGAAAAATATCTACATTTGAAAACTCATTTCCTGCCTAAAATAATAAAACATTCACTAACACATGGGATGGACTTTTTATTTATTTTTTACAATAATGTCTAATAGTGTGTTGTATTACATTGCTTTGTTTTTACTTTTTTTTACCATTTCTTGTTTCATTGTATGTAATGGCAGAGATTAGGGATTAATAAAGTGCAACCATAACCACAATCATATAAACATAAATCTATGCATTGATAAAAATGAAGACAAGTCCAGATATTGTGGTCAAGGTTTAGCAAATTGTTGTTTTTATTTACATTGCATAGCAATTATTTTTATAGCAATATATTGGGGTGGACATTTTGAGCATATTTGAACATGGGGGGGGGAGATATATATTATAATTATATTATAATTACGGCCTTGTGCCTATGTGTGTGTCTCTCTTTGTGTCTCTGTTATCGCTCTCTGCTTATGTGTCTGTCTTTGTGTCTCCGTGTCTGTGCTTTGTCTCTCTCAAATGTATCAATCTTAGGAAGAACGTAATCAACCAGGTAGGGTGTTGACTGTTATGTTAGCCGACTCTCTGTGTTCTATTGCATTATATTTCTAAGTTTACTAAGTTTATATTCTTAGTTTTTTCGGTAAAGTCACGTTGAAGAGAAACAACAAAATAACAAAATATATATAAAACAATAAAAATTCTCACGACGTTTCGACCATAACTCAAACGGTCATCATCAGGTGTGTCGGTTTGCATAAATTTATTTTGAAAATGGCATATTTATTTATTTATTTAAAAAATAACGTTTGCGTCACGCGCAACGATTGGCAGTTTGCCAGGACTAGTCCATCTATTTTTTGAAAAGAGGAGGGGGGAGACGAAATTTGTTTTTATGTATGCTGTCTGAAAGCCACTGTAAGCGTGAACAATCAATCAAGAACTGAAATGATTTATCAAATCTTTCCAATGATTGCTAAGATAGAATCCATCTTCTCAGTTGAAATTGTCTCTGTGTTTGTATATGTGGATAGCCTCATGAACGAATCTCTCATGGAAGCCAGATGGCTTACAAAGAACCTCCGTCTTGGAAAAGTCAATGGCATGTGAGCCTACTGAATTAGAACAATGATCTGCTACGGCCGAGGTGTTGGTCCTACCGTGTTTAAGGTCTGCTTTATGTTCACGAATGCGGTCCGAGATATGGCGTTTGGTTTCTCCAATGTAACTACTACCACAGAGGCAACTTAGTTTGTAGACACCAGGGTATTGTATGTCCGGAATCACATCTTTTACAGACGGAACCAGATCACGGATTTTATGTAATGTGTTGAAACGGACCTGGATCTTGTGTTTATTCAAGATTTTGGAGATCTTTTTTGTGATCCCAGCAATGTAGGGTAAAGTGATGGTTTTGAAAGGCTCCTCAAGAGGGTTCTTCTTCATGGTTTGAGTGATAGCTTTGCGGATTGTATAGTCGGAGTAACCATTAGCCCTAAGAGCTTGGTGTACGTGCTTGAGTTCACTGCTTATGTGTTCCTGGTCGGATATGCATTGGGCTCTATGATATAGAGTCTTGATGAGAGAATTCTTCTGTGATGGATGGTGGTGGGATTCCGGTTTCAGATAAGCATCCGTATGGGTAGCTTTCCTGTAGACAGAGTGGCTCATTGAACCATCAGGTCTCTTTTTAATTAGGACATCCAAAAAAGGTATCTTGCCATCTATTTCGACTTCCATGGTAAATCTGATGGCTGGGTGTATGGAATTGATGTGGTCGAAGAATTGGTCTAGAGCAGGCCGGCCATGTGGCCAGATGACAAAAGTGTCATCCACGTACCTCTTCCATAAGGTTGGGCGCAGAGTGGCAGTCTGGATGGCGTCAGTCTCAAATTTCTCCATGAAAATGTTAGCTATAACTGGAGAAAGGGGGGGGGGGGTACGTGGATGACACTTTTGTCATCTGGCCACATGGCCGGCCTGCTCTAGACCAATTCTTCGACCACATCAATTCCATACACCCAGCCATCAGATTTACCATGGAAGTCGAAATAGATGGCAAGATACCTTTTTTGGATGTCCTAATTAAAAAGAGACCTGATGGTTCAATGAGCCACTCTGTCTACAGGAAAGCTACCCATACGGATGCTTATCTGAAACCGGATTCCCACCACCATCCATCACAGAAGAATTCTCTCATCAAGACTCTATATCATAGAGCCCAATGCATATCCGACCAGGAACACATAAGCAGTGAACTCAAGCACGTACACCAAGCTCTTAGGGCTAATGGTTACTCCGACTATACAATCCGCAAAGCTATCACTCAAACCATGAAGAAGAACCCTCTTGAGGAGCCTTTCAAAACCATCACTTTACCCTACATTGCTGGGATCACAAAAAAGATCTCCAAAATCTTGAATAAACACAAGATCCAGGTCCGTTTCAACACATTACATAAAATCCGTGATCTGGTTCCGTCTGTAAAAGATGTGATTCCGGACATACAATACCCTGGTGTCTACAAACTAAGTTGCCTCTGTGGTAGTAGTTACATTGGAGAAACCAAACGCCATATCTCGGACCGCATTCGTGAACATAAAGCAGACCTTAAACACGGTAGGACCAACACCTCGGCCGTAGCAGATCATTGTTCTAATTCAGTAGGCTCACATGCCATTGACTTTTCCAAGACGGAGGTTCTTTGTAAGCCATCTGGCTTCCATGAGAGATTCGTTCATGAGGCTATCCACATATACAAACACAGAGACAATTTCAACTGAGAAGATGGATTCTATCTTAGCAATCATTGGAAAGATTTGATAAATCATTTCAGTTCTTGATTGATTGTTCACGCTTACAGTGGCTTTCAGACAGCATACATAAAAACAAATTTCGTCTCCCCCCTCCTCTTTTCAAAAAATAGATGGACTAGTCCTGGCAAACTGCCAATCGTTGCGCGTGACGCAAACGTTATTTTTTATATATATAAATAAATAAATATGCCATTTTCAAAATAAATTTATGCAAACCGACACACCTGATGATGACCGTTTGAGTTATGGTCGAAACGTCGTGAGAATTTTTATTGTTTTATATATATTTTGTTATTTTGTTGTTTCTCTTCAACGTGACTTTACCGAAAAAACTAAGAATATGAATTACTGCAGTCACGAAAGCTTTAAATCAAAATTTACTAAGTTTGTTTTCTCTTTCATTTGTACCTGATGATGATTGCATATGTTGCAATCGAAACGTCGTATGCTATTATTTAATTTATTACTTTCTCTTTCACTGTGAGAAGTTGTTTTTGTTTGTGTGTGTGTGCGCGTGTGGCGTTCCCATCCAGCAACAACGGAGGGCAGAGCAGCAGACGCTCACAACAACGAGCGGATAAAACGCAGAAAGTTGACCACAGTAGGGGGGGAGGGGGTACAACTGGTGGTGCATCTAGCGGTCATCCACCAGTCAGCCAACCCGATACGGCACCTGCTTGCCGAGTCTGGCCCGAGCCTTCGACCACTTCACGCGGCCGCCTCGAAGTGCATCCCGGCCTGGAAACGGGCGCCGTGGTGGGGGTAGGGGGGTGGCCGGTGAAACCTGATTAATATTCAGAAATGAGAATATTTTATTTATACGCAAGGAGGAATCCGATGATCTATGAAGCTCTCGGTAGGGGCGGGTAAGAACGTTACAGCAACAAACAAACTAAAAACATTATAGTAGCGCACAGTACAAGAAAGGTCAACAAAATCGCCCAAACGCAAACAAATAAAGCTAAACCATCCCCATCCTACCAGGCAAAAAGTCCACCGATGTATTAACTTTGTATCTTTCAGAAGCGACCTCGCCACAAATGATAGCTCGACAAAGTGGCCCATCATCTGGACATTTATAGCCACCAAAGCAATATAAATAATTTTGATTTAAAGCTTTCGTGACTGCAGGGATTCATATTCTTGGTTCTATCGGTAAAGTCACGTAGAAGGGAAACAATAAAATAACAAAAATATAAAACAATAAAATTCTCACGACGTTTCGACTGCAACACAAGCAATCATCATCAGGTGTGAAAACCACGGCAAGAAAATTTGAAAAAAGTGGCGGGTTTTTTTAACGTTAGCACCACGGAGAGCGATTTGACAGTTTGTTCAGATGGACGAGTCCATCTATGTTCGGAAAAGAGGAGGGGGGAGGCGAAAATAATGGATGCGGTCTGAAGGCCACCGTAAGCGTGAACAATCAATTAAGACCCGAAATGGTTTATCAAATCCTTCCAATGATTGATAAACTAGAATCCATCTTCTCTGTTGAAATTGTCTCTGTGTTTGTATATGTGGATAGACTCATGAACGAATCTCTCATGGTAGCCAGATGGCTTACAAAGAACTTCTGTCTTGGAGAAGTCAATGTCATGTGAGCCTACTGAATTATAACAGTGATCTGCCACGGCCGAGCTGTTGGTCCTACCGTGTTTTAGGTCTGCATTGTGTTCACGAATGCGGTCCGAGACATGTCGTTTGGTTTCTCCAATGTAACTACTACCACAGAGACAACTTAGTTTGTAGACGCCAGGGTACTGTATGTCCGGAATCACATTTTACAGACGGAACAAGATCACGGATTTTATGTAATGTGTTTAATCACACCTGGATCTTGTGTTTATTCAAGATTTTGGAGATCTTTTTTGTGATCCCCGCAATGTAGGGTAAAGTGATGGTTTTGAAAGGCTCCTCAAGAGGGTCCTTCTTCATGGTTGGAGTGATAGCTTTGCGGATTGTGTAGTCGGAGTAACCATTAGCCTTAAGAACTTGGTGTACGTGCTTGAGTTCACTGGCTATGTGTTCCTG